CTGCTCTGCTCTGCTCTGCTCTGCCCTGCCCTGCCCTGCCCTGCTCTACCCCGCCCTGCGCTGCTCTAGTAGTTACCCTTCCCTTTTCCTACCCTACCCTACCTTACCCTTCTCTTTTTTTTCTTTTTTAACTAGAAACTACTGTAGCCTAATATCATTGAAATCACTTTGTCCTATCCAATGAAGAGCAATCTTTTCACAGCACACATTTTCATTATCTTATCAGGAAAAAGAAGTTCACATATCTCAATACTTTTCTTGTTTCTCAATGTTTTCCCATTTCAGACCATGTGTCATTCCCTAGAGTATCATTTCTTTGTTTAACAGTTGCACTCGGTTGTGCATGAGAAGACACATGAATATGGATACAACTCAAACAAAGAATCTTATTCTCAAGAGAATGACACATGGTCTGAAATGGGAAACATTAGACCCAACCCAAGGAGGTCTATTGTTAATGTTTGTGTTGTGTTGTTCTGCAGATTTTTGGTCTTTTAAATTTCTTAGCAGAAAGTTTTATATTTTCATACATCGGTCTGGCAGTGTTTACTTTTGAAAACCATGTTTGGAAACCAGACTTCATTTGTGTGTCATTTGTATCCTTTCATCTAAAAACAAAGGCTATTATTTGGTTTCATTACTCCAGTTTTGAGTTCTTAGTCTTGTTTGAGTTCTTAGTCTTGTTTGTGTGTTTGTGCTATTCAACCAAAACCTGTATTAAAATCAACTTGTATTGTTCGTAGTGCCTACTTTCCTTACTATACAATGGACCTTAATAAAATAAAAGAACACATTCGTACACAATCCAGGCCACCATATCATCAAGTAGTCCATTCTAGGCTGATCAAAGACTGGGCTAGGCTGAGTCCTTGTACAATAGTACTAGTAATTAAGACAGAATGATAATTATTCATTTCATGTTGGAAATTCCTTGACACACTTTAGCTTGGTATATTACTTGGTCGTCTGCTCAACATTTATCCATTGTCTTTCCTTTTAAACTTAAAAAGACACAAAAAAATACCCTACAATATACAGCATATGATGGTCTTTGCAGGTGAGTAAGAGGATTTACATTTAAATGATTCATTTTTGGATCACAGGTGTACTGTATCGGTGGATTGCAGTGTATGCTGTGGTCCAGGTGTGGTAATGTGTATCTGATGTTAAAGCAGGTTTGGTAGATTGGGGAATATACAGTCAATTCAAAAAATGTTGTTGTCGACCAACTCAAGCCTACGCGACTGGACCGAAAGGAACTCTGGGTAGTAATCATTGAAGCCAAGTTGACTCCATAATTTTATCTGACTAGTTATGCCTAATTTACAGCAATGAAACTTCGTAGGCGAGCGGGAAGCGTTGAAGGAGACGTTTTCAATGTCTTCATATTTTCGAAATTGTGAACTGAATAATAAGTACTTTGTTTTTCTTTCCCTAAACCCAAAGACGTGCATTTGATGGATTGTTTCTCGCCATTATTATCTTATTACTAGCGGGAACAATTTATTCMGAAYGAATATTTAACCGCTTCAGTGATTTTTACCCATATTCCTTTCGGTCCAGTCGCGTAAGCTTGAGTTGGTCAACGACAACATTATTTGAATTGACTGTATGTTACTGACTTATTGCTTGTACATGGTATGACATGACGTAATATTAAAATATCTGTTCAAAATTATTATACCATGGTATGTGAGTAGCAATGTCTTAAGCATTTTCGATTTTGATACATTTTTAAAATTATCACTGCTTTATTTGAAGGTCTACGTGGAGCAGTAGCATTTGCTTTAGCAATGCGAAACACAGAATCAACATCTCGACAGATGATGCTCAGTACAGTGCTCGTGATTACCCTGATTACTGTCATATTCAATGGAGGATCCACTCTGACAGTGTTGTCTTACCTGAAAATCCAGTACGTAGACTCAAAGAATCTTGACCCTACACCTCTACTCTGCCCCTCCCCTTCCTACTAATCTATCACTAGTTTCCAACATACCAGTCCTACTTGCTTCAAGTATTGGTCAATATTTTTGCTGTTTGTATGTCTATTTTTTAGACATTTACTTCCAATTGTAACAGCCTTTCAATGGCTTGTGAATAAGTCACATTCAAGATATCTGTTGATTGTCACGCACGAAGGTTTCAATATGAGGATACGTTCATAATACTCAGTGATTCATCACAGGAGAAAAATGATAAATTTCAAGTAGCACGTAGCCTTCAGCAGGCTATATATTTCTCATTTTCTAGGCATGTTCTGGAATCTCCTAGGCATTGACATTATTTCTTTCTTAATTAACAGAGTTGGTGTCAACCCAGAAGAGGAGGAACAACCCAAGTTTATATCGGTTGGAACAGTAGGTCTTTTGTTTGGGAGGCTGTTTATGTTGCAGTGATCACAAGCTGTATTAAAATAATAAACGGAATATAACAAACTATTGAACCCCATTAATCATAACTAAAGGCATCAGATTAATGTAACTCATATGGAATATTTTTTTGAAAGAATAAAAAAAATATTAAGAAATTAGGGAATCCCCCTTAAAAGCCACTTAACTGTAAAAATCTAGGTATGATTAATATAGTTTTATTAAATATTTAAAAGGTGTAACTCGTTTAAAACACTCGCGATAAAGTAAAGATCGATGAGAAAGTAATCTTATAAACCTGATTGACTTATTTGAATGGCAAAAAAATTATTACCAATTACTCACGACATAAATATAAACGCGTTTGATGGTGTAATTGTAAGGTCGTAAGGCGTAAGGGAAGGTTCATTTGATATGCCGGGGGGGGGGAGATGAAGATGTCTCCTCCAAAACCTAATTTTTTACAGACCCCCTCTTAGGACTTAACTTAAATTTAGAAGGCAGAACCCCCTCCCCTTCCCCCCCTCAGTAATGTTATTTTATTGTCAATGCCGAGAGAAAATGTACGTGTTAAAATATTTATAGTGAAGAGTTTTTTAAAATCCATTTTAATTTTTCGTTCTTAATTCTTTAGTTTGATGGGATTCAATTCATTTAATACTATATAAAGAAAATAATAAACGAACAGCTTTGATCGCGCTACCACGAACAGCCTCCCCATCCACCTTCCACGATCATCTAATTTCTAATTATTAACGTTTATTAATGTTATTGACATTTAATACTTGCATGCTTCGAATACTCTGATACTCTCGTTAATGTCACACACTCCATTCTTTTCTATACCAGTTTCATACGAGTCACAGCTTCTTTTTTCGCTCTGTCGACTGTCGACTAGTTTTCAACGCAGCCGCTATTAGTGTCGTCACGCAACGCTCACTCCCCTAAGTAGAGGAGTGAGCGTGGCGTGACGACGCTAATAGCGGCTGCGTTGGAGACTATCTGTCGACTAAATCACAACCACTTATCCTCGGTAACCCAGGAGTACAATTCTGTCGCTGGTTTCTCGCTACCAGAAAAGAAAAAAAGTATTTTTTCTGATAGTGAGATACGAGCGACATTATGTTACCTCTGGGTTCCCGAGGATGACAACCACTATTACGATACTTCCCCAAACATTGCCATATCTCATCAAATCTCACTGTTTCGCGAAGTCCCGATATCGACTAATCCACGATCGATATCGTGCGATATCTGGCAAAAAAAATCACTAATTTTAATCACATCTTACAGATCATAATATTTCAGTCTAGTTTATAACAGATTTCTTTTTTTAATTCTTCCATTGCACGTTACATCATCGCGGCCTCTCGGGGGAGCGTTGGTGCCACTTAACAAAAGATATCTTATTAACATCCATTGTTAAAGGCATTACAATGGCCGCCATGCTTTTGTCTTTTAACTCTCTTGAGAATGCTTGCAACCCATCAATACTGCACAGAAACTGACAGAGTACTGATCCAGCATGAGTACAGTACCAACATACGTATTTTCTTTCTCTGTACACAAGGAATCATTCATCATCGAGGTGTTTTAACGTAAATGCATACTTTTTTTTGACAGGAGGAATCAGATAGCGATCTAAGGCCCCAGAATGCTCAATATGAACGAGCCTGGATCTTTAGATTATGGTACGACTTCGATATCAAATATCCTTTTGTAAAGGCTTTGGTGGGGAGGGTAGGTGGCTATTTGCACCAAAGGGATCCCAAACAATGGTTCTCTTCTGTCTGTACAAACGAAAGGATTTTGTTATGTTCATTATATGGGTGAGATCGTCAATTTACTTTCGACAAAAATGATTGAGAGGTTGAACATTTGTCACGCGAACACCAGGTTTTTGAAATGTCAATGTGAGTTAGGCTCCTGACAAACGGCCAAACATTTTACTCAGTTTTTGACACGCATTTTTTGGGTCAAATGATAGAACTGTTTGCCATAGTTTGACGATGTTTGGATGAGATTTTTTATTTTGAATGAATGTTGCGCTTGTTTGTCATGCCGGTTTTTCACGACACAACAAAATGTTGGGTCAAATGTTGGGCCGTTTTTCAGGGCCCTTAATTAACTAATTCTTGATGATATTTGATGTTCCTTGACATTTTCGTACGTATATGAAGCCACTCTTTACTGGAGTTGGTCCCCCTTTGAAAGATGCGTTACCAGCTTGTTGCGCACCGTTAGCAAGATTTCTGGACAAGAGGAAGCCTGAGCCAAAGGTCAGTGACAAATGTTCGAGTTGGCTGGTAGGTGGGTGGGTGGGTTGGTGGGTGGGTGAGTGGGTGAGTTGGGTGGTAGACGGGTAGGTAGACGGGTAGGTAGACGGGTAGGTAGACGGGTAGGTAGATAAGAATGGGAAGAAAGGAAATACTGTAAGAAAGTATGTGAAAATGGCCAAGTAAAAGAGAAAATTATTAAACAAAAAGTCGACTGCCTTCTGGAAATGCGAAACAAAAAAGAAACGTGGAGACATATGACAAGGTTACGGCGTCAAAACAACTCATCTTAACTTTTTTTATGCTCTGCGCAACCAGAGTCCCATCCACTTTTACTTTTACCCATCCACTTCCATTCACTTCATGTTTTCTTTTACAGAGGAGAGAAGGAGATCTTAGTAGCGATGAAGACCTGGTGAACATTGAAGGAGAGCTTACCTTCCGTCGCAATGAAGAGATCATGATCCGACCATCGAGCGACAGTTTCGTCTTGCCTCATGACGTATCCGACCTTAACGAGGGAGACCTGGGTTTAGGAATGGCAACACACGATCCAGCCAAAGTATAATCCATATAGTCTTAATATATAGCCAACGAAATTTAAATGTACAAATATTCAAGAACTTTGCATGCGGTCTAAAGTAACACAGGGAGACCAAGACGGTAAGCTTCTTCTTTTAAAAAGCCACTTTATTATCATATAGTGCCGGTGGTCTTCCTGTGACATCACAGGAAGACCAACCTATTTTTTTTCTATTCATGCGGATTTTTGAAAGTGCATTCATTGAATGTTTCTTTTTCGAAAGCAGGATGATCACTGATAAGTAATTATCAAATTGCGTATTATTCTAAGTATCCAATGCTGTTAGATTAAACTCTTGTCAAGGTATCAGTGATAGTCACTGTCTTCCGGTGAAGAGCTGAGACCACATTGTAAACTTCAAGTAAACAAGGCCTAGTCTCTTGAGCAGTCGCTATTAGTGTCGTCACGCAATGCTCACTCCCCTAAGTACTTAGGGGAGTGAGCGTTGCGTGACGATTCTAATAGCGGCTGCGTAGGAGAATACCTTGACCCCAGGGCCTTGTCACTCATACTATGCATGCACTGCGCATGCACGTCAAAATATTAAAGACTGTGGGAAACCCTAGAATTTCAAGAGCTGTGATTGGTCAGAATATTTCTCGTGATTGAAAAACACATGGCAATGCAGCTGTAAACCTGAAAGCCATATTAAAGAATTTTTTTCCCGAGAATTGAAAAAAATATCGTCAAATTAGGGAGCGCACACTCTAGTTACAATATTCAAATCTGATTTCTCGCTACCGTGTGTTAGGGTCTCCTGCTTGGGACTCTGGCAATCATTCGAGCATGCGTAGTAAGTATAAAATGACAGGGTTCTGGGGTCGAGAGGGAAATAATCCGTGCAATTTGTTTTTCGACGTTTGTTATAATTCATGTTGGCTATATCAGCACTGCCCGGTGGACTGTGCGCAATTATGCGCAAACCTCGAGCAAATAATTAAATAATACAGACGTATACTACAGAATAGTAAAAAATTAAATAAATTTTGAAATGTTTGAAATAAAATTAAAATAAAATTCAATTTACAATAAGAGCTTGACGTTCCCTAGGATCTATTAATCTTAACCCGAAAGCAAGTGAAATAATTACTGATCTTATCAAAATCCATTGTTTTCAGTCTGCATTATCCCAACGAATGCATAGAGGAAAATCAGACATTCATTATTGGCTTTGTTTCTATGATAAACAAGCTAGAAAGAAAACAATTGGATTTTGATAAGAACAATAATTATACTAGATAATCACTTCGGCACGCAGCATTCGTAGGTATAATGCAGGCAGCTTCGGGCTACTCCCTCAGCTGCCTGCATTATACCTACGAATGCTGCGTGCCTCAGTAATTATCTATTAAATAGTAACATGTTGGACATTATTATTAATTGTATTGTTCTTGTTCGGAAACCTGTGAAGTATCGTGGCACGTTTTAATTGGTTCCAAGTTTGGTAAGGAGAACAGTTTCTCTCACCGGAAATAAATTGCTCTATGAAATGTCGTCGATGTGCAGGCTAATTTTCTCATTATCGAATTCTCTACATAATAAGACCTTCTGACTGGTCGGTGTTAAATGTTATAAAATGACACGTTCATGGGTTTTTAGATGTCGATTATTGAGAGATTTGATTGGTTACTACGCAGTCTAATTATCTGTTGTATCGACTTGTCTTTGAAAACTGCATCTGCTCACTGAGTTATTTCACTGCTGCCGAATGGATCTTTGAGCAAGCACTCCAAAGCTCTGCGGAAACGCCTTGTTCGAATAGCATAGATGAACGGATTCAGTAGACCAGGAAGAAACAGACAACGGTAGGCAGCGAACCCAAACCATGAGGTCTTGGTGGAAGAAATTGAACCCACCCTTTCCATGACACCGTATACAGTACCTGGTAGGTAAAACACGAAGAAAACCACCACTGTCACACCGATCGTTTTGATAGCATTGATCTCGTTTAGTTTGCGTGTTTGGTCAAGGACTGACTTGGCGTGCACGCCCATTTTCTTTGCGTTGATCTATTTATCAAGAAAATAAATAAAGTATGTAGAACAATAGGGGGGACAATAGGGGCTATTTGATCAAACGCCAACACTTTCAATATAAGTGTGTCAAAGCTTTGCGCATTCTTTTAAACTCCAACTCCAGCGGCAAAACGGCAAGAGACCTTTGTTCATGTACTTTATTAAAACGGAAAAAGGCCTCCTACAAGGCAAAGCCTTCGATGGCCTTGTACCCGAGTCCGCCCTTCCCCCTGCTGCGACTGATTGGCGGGAAAAAAAGTAATCCGTGGTGGATATCGAAATGAAAACTGTGAACAAGGCGGTCATATGACTCTAGTGTCAGAAGCGCGCGCGGTCCTATTAAGGTGGCTCGATGGGGTTTTCTCGACGCGCTACTCGTGAAGTCAAATCAGCTCATACGTTCCTATCAACGTTGATAGACTCAATTTAAATTTTAATTGGTGGCGTAGCGGTGTGAGCGCTCGCCTCTCATCAATGCGACCCGAGTTCGAGTCCCGCCAGGTTCGGTGTTGTATATAGTCAATTCAAAAAATGTTGTCGTCGAGCAACTCAAGCCTACGCGACTAGACCGAAAGGAACTATGGGTAGTAATCATTGAAGCCGAGTTGACTCCATAATTTTATCTGACTAGTTATGCCTGGTTTACAGCACGAACGTTCGTAGGCGAGCGGGAAGTGTTGAAGGAGACGTTTTTTAAATGCCTTCATATTTTCGAAATTGTGAACTGAATCATAACTACCTTGTTTTTCTTTCCCTAAACCCAAAGACATGCATTTGATGGATTGTTTCTTGCCATTATTATCTTTATCACTAGCGGGAACAATTTATTCAGAACGAATATTTAAACCGCTTCAGTGATTTTTACCCATATTTCTTTCGGTCCAGTCGCGTAGGCTTGAGCCAGTCGACGACAACGTTTTTTGAATTGACTGTATGAGTAGAGTTGTTTGTTGGTTCTCTCCTGTGCATCGAGGGTTTTTCCGGATTCTCCGGTTTTCCTCCCTCCGCAAAAATCAACTCCTAAATTCCAATTCGATCATGGAATGAGGGCCACAGGTTTGTTAGCCACTGGCTATTAAGTGCTACCCTCGTGAAAAAAGGACGTTATTATTTATTCGTTTGGCATGAAGTAACCTTACCTTATTCTTGTGTTTAATAACAGAGCAGGTAACTATGCCAACTACAGCATTATTGACGATAAAAAACGGGAGAACGATAAACGAAACAAGAGTTCCTCTCCTGAAGAAATAAGCGCTTCGATACTTGTAAGTAGCTACGTTTCCAAGGTCTATATCCCAGATTGGGACCAGAAGAAGCATGGATATTACGAAACACGATATCCATTTGACAGCTATTACCTTGTAAGCCTTGGATCTTGTTCTCCATACCCGGTAAGCGAGGTTGAACTTAAACGCGCACAGTCTATCGAGAATCATCAGGGTCATTGACATCAGATTTACCAGAACCAAGAAGAGGTTCAAGCTCGACATAACTAGAGCCAACCATCGTCCGACAAAATACTTGTTGTCCCTAGCGATATACCCTGCGGCGAATCCAGGAATATTGAAGACTTGGTTGAGAATATCAGCGATACATGAACTCAGGATGATAAGATTGGGTATTGTTCGTAGATTTTTGAAGCGGTACATCAGCACTCCTACACTAGCATTACTAATGAACGTAACCAAGAAGATAACCAGAAGTATGGATAGACGTACTCCTTCATCTAAGTCCATTCCTGGTACCGCTTTTCGCAACAGCTCAGTTGCGCAGTCAAATCTTTAGCTAAATCGTTGGATCGGAAGTCGATGGGGTCAGCAGAGTTGACAAAAGTCCTGCTTAATAGATAGAGAATGCTTTTAAAATGAAGTAAAGTAGTAAACAAACATTTAAGAATATCAGAATTTATTTTGCATAAAACTAAATTCCTGCAAATGTCTTTGACGATCTTTTCCCGGGTGACATGGAAATCTTTTTATGGCATCGCTGATATTTGTCAGGTTTTGCGAAATGACTGAGAAATTATTGCATTTTTTATAAGAAAAAAACTTCGGTTTCTTACCTTCAACTTCGTTTCGAAGCTCATTGGAAGAGTGATTTTTTTTATCGACTCAAGGGATTAATACTCCACTTAGCAACAAATTTTATTTCCGGCTTTTGGTTTCCGTTAATTAAAAATGCTTAATCTTCGTTCCCGCGTAACATTTTTTCACGTTTTGCTTTTCTTTACTTCTTTGCAAATATTCGACTGTTTAAAAAACTTGAAACGATCTTTCTTCGGATTGGAATTTACTACTGCTATATTTTCCTGCAAGAATCGCTATAAATTGAAGTTCCTGCTAATTTCTTCATATATTTATTCGTTTCTCCTTCCTGGCCTCTACAGAAAGCAATGAATGATTCCTTAATGAGCCATTGTTAGTATATAACAGGTGACGTATCTTTATCCCAGTTGCCTTGCAATTGTTTGGGGGCCCATCTCATGAGAGCCCAGAGAACGCGCACACACTTCTTCGTATCCAAAACTACTCCATTTTAGAAAAAAATACTAAATAAGGAACTTGCTTGCTGTAATCTCGGCTAATCTTTGTGGGTTTACTATTTTCACATGTTACAGTTGATTATTGGAAGTTGGATTTCCATCCTGCTTGGAAACGTTGTAAACTTCAATCCCGGTCTTTACCTCAAAACATCAAAATGTTCATTTGTGAAAGGACTTTTCGAACAAAATACACCACACAAATAACTTTAAAATGGTAGCTACAATTGTAGAAATAATTTTAGCTTTCTAGAATCTGTGAAGAACTAAATAAGCTTTTAATCCGAGCCCATTATTCAAATTTGCAATGTTCAGTTCATTAATGCAAGCTTCAAAGCAAGATGGAAATCAAACTACCAATAATAAAATGAATCTTTGAACCATTATAAGAACACATGAGCAGGTTTGACTTAACAGATCAAAAACAGTTTTCCGTGTTTGATACTCTGATCAAAACACGCGGGATGTTGGGAGAACACGAGAGGAGCGTAGGAAACCACGACGCGTAGCGGAGTGGTTTCCAGCTTCTCGAGTGTTCTCCTAACATCCCAAGTGTTTTGATCAGAGTATCAAACACAGAAAACTGTTTTTGATTTGTTTTATAAAATAACAAACGCGCGAAAAGATCGAAAAAAAGCAAAGTCTAAGTAAATTCTCCCTACGTGCCGTCTTATTCAAACTGACCAATGAGCGCGCGCGATAGATTAAAAATGACGATAGCGTGTTTTGATACTCTCATCAAACATGGCTTTCGACCAATCATAGCGCGCGTAGTATCCCAATTATTTTATAATGTAAAATTAAATCTCTTATTCAACATTTTATTATCTTGCATGTAGACAAAAACATACACTGGATTAGGAGCAGCATTATTTAATGACCTGAGGTGTTTTAAATCTGACCTTAATGAGTACAAGCACCAGGAAGTAGTTAGCCATATTACAAAGCTGTCCAGGAAGGTGGGAGGACATCCCTCCCACTTAGTCCCTGAGCTAGCCTGTTTATCTGATGATGTTATTTCCTGCACCTCACAAACCCAGAAATCATAATCAAAGAAAGCATTGAGTATGATTTCTTTATGAGGTTAAGTGCAGCATATTTACAGCACTGATGTCAGTCATAGTGCAAATTGATGTAGTTATTGTTACCCATGTAACATTCATTCTCTTCATTCAAATTGTGTCTTCTACCAAAACTAGACATTGCTGATCAGCCTTGCCTTGATCATTTATCCCAACACCCAAGAATCACGAATACAGACTTATAAAATTAAACAAACAAACAGACACACACACACACACAACATGATGCTACAATGGAATTATCTGAACCATAGAAAATTGAATGTTTTTTTTTGAGTTTAAAATCCCTGATCATTGCTATAATGACTACATGATTAAATACTTATGAATGTTTTTCCTTCTCTTGTGGAACATTATGCCTAGAATTATAATATTTAAGAATGATTCCAAACGATGCGAAGCCAAGAAAGAGGGTTTGTATTGTCCACTTCATAGTTGTCTTCATGGAAAATTTCAGCTGCCTAAAATATTAATCAAAGGTTTATAATGGAAAACTTATTTTAAAAGTTCATTTTTACTTTTCTTACTTTTCTTAGATCTTACATCAGCATACTTCTCAAGCAGTTACAGGAGTTTTAAAAGGAAAAAATATGATTATGAGCTTTTCTTACTTACCTACACAATCTGTATGATGCAAAAGCTTCTGTAGCATGGATCAAAACCATTATTCTGAAACTATATCGAATAATATAAAAAAAAACCTTAGAGTTCTATACCACCTTTTGGAGTTTGCCTTTGCTCAGCCTGGGCTCTTGTGGTGTGCAAATGTGCTCTTTGTAATTGTTTTTGTTAATTTTGTACCATCCCCAGTGCAAATGTGCTCTTTGTAATTGTTTTTGTTAATTTTGTACCATCCCCAGAATTCTTTTCTCTGCTTCCTGTTTAAAAAATGATATCGCATAATGTGTATTGGTGATAACCTACCCAGCTTCAAGAGCCTTTGCATAGTTGTCTTTGAGGTAGAAAAGGAAGTTCCCAATGGGACCAAGAGATGAATATGGAATAAGGTCAGGATGAAAGCAAACCATCTGAAATGACAACACATCTTTATCGATATATAGATGTATAGACATATGGCAAAAAAGACGACATGAGATTGTTCTCGGGGGGGTGACTCCGGGGGTGAACGGGGAAGTTTTTATGGGTGGTGAAAATGAAAAATTTGCAGTAGCTTGAAAGGATTGGTGGTATTCAAGCGTAGCAGTGAAAATAATATGCATGACATACCATCGTTATATTGGGCTTGTAGAGAAGCATGACAAACTTACCCAAAATAAGGTCACAGCAGATAGAATTAAGGCATACCACGTTGATGACGCAAACTCAAAGAAATCGCCCTCCAATTGCACCTGTTCTGGTTCATTTTCATCGCTTCCTCTTTGTGTTGTTCGTCTTCTTGTTGGAGGCGCCATCTTGGATTAGGTCCACAGAGAGGGACTGGCACTAGAGTCAATACCCGCTTGTCCATGGACTGCAGGCTCTAGTCTTTCAAGATGGCGAGTCATGAAGATCAACAAGAAAGCTAAAAAAATCCGACATCTTTTTGGGTTGAAAGATTGATATTAGACGACTTGTTTTGCGCGAAAATGATTATATTAGGACGTATATTAGTGTTTATTGGCCTGATAGCCATTCTTCATGCTGGATATTCTGCTGTTCAGTGTAAGTTATTCCACATGTGTCTCACTGCATGACACTTTACATGACTTAATCTTAACTTACGGTTAATTTTAACTTAGCTAATTATATCCTGTAAAGAGTAGGCTCTGAAGTAATGTGGTTTTCTATTTTCGTACTTTAGGTAGAACATATTACAAGCTTTTAGAGGAGGAATTCACATCTTTACCAATTGATGTAAGTCGAGATCGTAGAATAAGATTTTTTTTAGCTTCCATGTGTGTTGAGTGCCATACCATGGAATATATCATGAGTCACTTGTAATTTCTAGGCTGCGTTCATAATGTATGGGGGGGGGGGGGGGAGTTAAAATTAACCCACCTCTGCCTAGTTTCTGTGTACAACTAGAAAGTGCAAGCGATGTGTGGGGTAGTCTATGGTATTGATGGTTTTCACGTCGGCCATGTTGGAGGACTTTAACAAAAGAATTGTCAATGAATTCTTTTGATATATCCTCCAACATGGCTGCCATGTCTTATTATTTCATTCTCTTGGGAATGGTTGAAAACTATCAATACCACACGAAAACATTGTATAACTAAAGTATATATACAATACAATGGCTTTTACTGCATTCTGTTTTTGTCTGTATTTTCAATGCTGTTCAAGGCTAAAAATAACATCCGGAAATTTGTCTTACTGGTCATTTTCACCATTAACATCTAGCCAAAAAGGAGATGACTAAGCTAAAGCTAATGTGGCCTGTGATCATGGCCATTGACTGATTGGCCATTTTTTATTTAAGCCCTGGGTGTTGGATGAATATAAATTAGATGACCTTGAAGAGTTCTTCAAGTGATTGCCTAGACCCTTATATTCATTGTTAACCATTACCTTTGTTAACTCATGCTTTGCACTTTGATTTCTCTAGATCTACATCCAGTGTTTACTTGGCATGTTACTTGGATGTATTGGAGTAGTCTTAGTAGCAGGAGAGTTTAAGGAGATCCGTGCTGCCGCAGAAATGGCTAGCAAGTAAGATTAAATCACTGGATTATAGCACTCGCATGGATTAATACTACCATATTTGACACATTAGGGACTGGTTATGTACAGGGAGGGAGAGAGGCCAGTGCAAACATGGGGGCCAGTAATTTTTAATAAAAAAATCTATGTAATAATTAATATTTATTTAAGTGTTATTTCTATTTCTTCTTTCAGATCTTGGGAGTCTTTAGGAAACAGACCATCATTTTACACTTTTAATCACAGAGGAAGAGCAATGTTTTCAAATATACCACAGAGTGGTAGCTGGTGACAAGCCACAGAAAATATTTTGCCATCTTTTCTAGAGATACAAAAAAAACCTCATTAATACATACTGAACAATTTATTTGGCTATGTAAAATGAATATATACCAAAGTTAAATACTGCCATAACTTAGAACCCCTTGTAATTTTCATATCTAGTTATGTTCGAATAAGAACACAAACTAGTGAAAGTTTTTCTCTGAACTGTCAGAGTTGTGATGCTCAATTATCATGACTTTGCAACATTTTGATTCTCTGTTTTCTTCGACATTTCTTTAAATGTTTTGGTAATTTTCATCTCATTTGAACAGGCCCTCTTTCCCTGCTAGCAGAGCCTATTTTCCTTTTGTTTTGGTGGAGTGAAAAAAATAGACTGCCGATGTAGGACGTTATACTTGTGATGCCTGCGTGGTGTAACTTAGCAACACTGTCATGGTTTTGACAGCAGCTCTCATCAAACAACGTTTAGTGCCATGATGTGTTACATATTATCATGCGCACTACATGTAACACGTTAAAAACTGGTCTTAAAACTGGTTTTGTTTGTCTATGATTGTGAATGGCAGTTTATCAAACAAAACGCTCTACATCGCCAGAGTCTCCCTCTTCACTGCCTAAAAGAAGGGAGAGAAAGAGGACTCTGCTAGCAGGGAAAGACCCTCTAAGATAACTGACCAATCAGAAGGATTTTAGAAATGATCTGGCTTTTGATGTCCAGCGAATAGTATGGATACATTACATAACAATTATTTTGCATTGTACAATATATACTGAGAGACCTTGTATAAATTATATTTGAATTGATAGCACCATGCTTTGCTATATTGCTATTTAGGCAATGTAGCAATAGTAATCTGGAAGTTAGCTTACCAACATTATTGTAAAACATTTAGAATATTTCTTTAAGTATTACAAGTACAGTTCAGTACTTATGTCACAAGCAATTAACCCAGACATTGCCTGATCTTAATACTCTTCTTCTTCTTTATGCTTCGTGATCTGACTAAAGGAAAATGCCTTACAGTCTCTAGTTAATCTTGAAGCATATACATAAATATATCATTAAATACTATAAAAACCGCAAATTTGGCGTAAAAAAACGTCTACGTTCCTTATGATCCAGCCAACCACCCAGTCCATTCCAGCTATGTGCAGTTCCAGATTTTCCAAAATTAAAAAACACTCAAAATTCGGGCAATTAGAAGAGGAAAACAAGTTTTAGGTGGGTATGTTTTTGTTATACATTAAGATTATCCAAATCAAAAGGTGCCAAATCAAAAGGTGAAAAAAATTTTTGATTCAAGATTGAGTAACTGACTGAGGCCCAGTCACTTGCAATCTATTCAGTCACAATCAATCTATTCCAGTCACATCCAGATAACATCAAATTTATTTATCTTAAAAGCATCTTTAATGGAGGAAAATTATTCGTAAAATTCTGTTACGATCCACAGAGTCACCTATGCAAATTATGTTTACAGTCCTTTGAAAAACATTTGCCGCTGACCGGCTTCACAAGACTTCAACCAGTGCCACGATTCAAAAGATTTTTTTAAAAATTGTTTTTTTTTTGTGCAAAATTTTGGATACAATCATAAGTTATATACAATGATGCTGCAAATACGGCGTAAAAAAAACGTATACATTCCGTACAATCCAGCAAGTAAAGTCCAGTCCCTTCCAGCTATGTACGGTTCCTGATTTTCCAAAATTAAAAAACACTCTAAATTTGGGCATTTAGAAGAGGAAAACAAGTTTTAGAAGTTGGGCATGTTTATGCTATGCATTAAGATTATCCATGGCTTTTCAAATGGCGAAAATTAAAAACGTTTTACTGGGTTGCCTGTGCACCCCAGTCATAAAATGCCTTTGGTTTATTTTGTAGTCTCAGTTCTAGCGAAGTGTGCATTCTTGTGCAAGAGTACCCATATGGATTTGAATGGCATGTTCAGAAGTGTTTAGAAGTAATATAATTGAGCAGTAAAAGAAGACTTTCTAGGATTAAAATTCAGATATTTATTAATTTTAATACAGCTACTCAATCTGGCTTTAATAGTGGGTTAGTATAGCCTAAAGGAAAATATGGCTTTCAGTCTCTAGATAATCTTGAAAGCATATACATAAATATATCGTTGAATAGAATTGGAACTCATCTGATCAAATCTTCGCCTTGCTGGTCATTTCGACCAGTAACTTAACTTTGAGCCAGAAACTGACCGAGCTAATTTGGCCAGCTATCATGACTAGAAAACGGCCAGCTAACATGTCCATGGCCAGCTGTTGTTTTTAGCCCTGAGGGATGATATCCAATGCTGTTCTTCCCCTGTTGTCCTTGATCTGCTGTAACCCAGGATTCCTGTCCACCAACAATTGAACTATTTCTTTATGACCTTTTTCAGAAGCCTGTGATATGAGCCAAGAAATGTTGTACAAAATGAAGATTAAATTCTGTAATCATTTCAATAGGAAAGTGATCGAAATATAAGTACCCATATCTAGAGGATTTGGTTCTTCAAACAATCAGTTGCACCTTAATAATCATTAGTATCCTTGGAAGGAGGTATTACTGCAGTTTTCAAAATTTTTGCGGAATCAGTAATTGCGAGCTGCAACTGAAATTTGGTATTTCACTGCCGTCAATAAAAATAATCAGGTGGTACCTTTTATGTTCTTGACTGACTGCAGTGATAAACAAATTTCACGAAAAGCCATTGAAATGTCGGTATTTGTAGAATATAAAAAAACGCAGTAAATGATAAGCATGCAAATTCAAATTTCTATCAGCTTACTTTATGGAGTGCTGTTTGTCCATCAGTATCACAAAGTGTAGGGTCTGCTTGATGCCGAAGGAGCAGATTTACAACTCCAATACGTCCACAGTAGGCAGCCCTATGTAGTGGCGTGACTTGGCCAGACCTTGTCTGTGCATTTGCACAAGCTCCCTTCATTAGAAGAAGCTCACAAACTGCAAAATGCCCACTGCGGCTTGCATAATGCTGCAACATGCATAAGCAAGTCACAGGTAAATACTAAATCCATCATATCATATCCCTCTGGTATATTGTGCACTCAAAAAATTTGGGTTCTGAAGATCATTTCTTTTGTAATAATATTTAATTAAACCAATTACTATGTTCAAACATTGAAAATAATTAACCACACAATTGGAAAAATTGGTGTCCAAGTTATTATCTACAAACCAGCGCAGTGTAACCGGAACTATCAACAGCATTGGGGTCACCTCCCTTATTCAGGTAGTCCTCGACCTTTTCAAATTCCCCGTCCATCGCTGCGGTCCAGACGCCTCGTGCGAAATCCATTTCGGACATATTTTGGCCATAACTTGACGAGGAATGACATTTACAACACCCTCCAATATGTTCTTCCATTGTTGTTGACACAATTCCCGGCACAGTTGTTTAAAAAAACAACGACAACCGAGCCCTCAAAAGCCACGGCAGTATAAAATTTTGTATCACTTTATAAAAATACGATGTGTTTTGTTATTTTGCAGTTTTTTTCTATTCATGATTCAATAACATTTCAACCTTCCATTTTGTTTTTTCTCTTTCTCTGCAGTTTCCGACAGGCGTTCCATCCAATTGAATTATATTTCGCGTGGGGTATGGCACTACTCGTTTCAGACTTCCATGCAAGCGCGGCCAAAGTTACTTCTGCAAAAACGTTTTGAAAGTTTTATTGTCAAGTATCGTATTTTTTCGTCGTATTGTAAGCCAAAATGACTCGAGAAGAACTCCACAGCCATCGTCACAGAAGCAGAAGTCCTGGACATTCTCGGAGACATCGAAAAGCAAGATCCAGGTCGCCTTCTTGGCCAAAATCTCGGTCTCGTTCACGAAGCAGAAGCAGAAGTCATAGTTTAGAACGTGAACAGTACGTAGAAATATAATAACTTGAATTTTAATGTTGTAACCTTAATTCCTTTTAAATTCATTCTAAATAGCATCTACTGGCATCATATCTTGAATATTGAATGTTTTGGTATCAACAGAGCAGTAATAGATAATATATTAAAGCATTGACTGTCAAAAACTCCCAAATGATGTATAGGGCTAAAATGTTACAAACATAAGCTTATGAGCTTTCTTTGATTTTCAGTTTTAGAAAAAAACAGAAATCATCTGAAGAGCTCGCCATGGAACGGTAATATATAAACTTTGAAATGTTGCACATAATTATTGCTTTAACAACTTCTCCCCTGTGTTTCCCCCCCACAAATACACTTTACTAGTTTCATATATTTTCCAATCTTAGTCCACCTACATTTTGGGTGCTCTGTGACCCCTGTGGATGCCAGATTTTTGTAGCTATTAATAAATGCATGAGATAAACAATGTCTTATTTTTAACAGCCGCAGAGCAATGAGAGAACAAATAATGAGTGATGGTGTCCCTGAGGTATGGGGGCCTGTTCCACGAGAACAGCCAATAGAGTAAGTTGAAACAATTATACACTATATCATTGACTTTCATCACTCAGCAGCAGCCAAGGTTATTCCCTTGAAAATAAACACCTTTGAGAAGTGTCTAAATTTGTATTTAATCAAATGGACTGTGCTGTGAGATAAAGAAGGCATTAAGTTTTTCAGAAGACATAATCTTTAATAATTTTGTTAGGATCAAAACAAAAAAAAAGCATTTCAACTACATGTATTAAGGAGGTTGTTATGTTCCATCTTTTAGTTCTGATGATGAAAGGAAAAGGCTCCATCCTACATTAGCAAATGGCCGAAAAAGTAAGTTATACGATCATAGACTCCTTTTACAGAACAGTTTATTTATTTATTATCACACAATGTGACACTGTAATTTTTCATACATTCTTCCATTTTTATATAGTAACCCAAATGGAAAAGGGGTTGGGATGGAATACCGAGGGAAGGAGAACAAGGGAGAATGGGGAATAAAGGGTCCAGACTCTCTAAACACCCTGCTCCCTTCACCTCACAACCAGCCCTGGGCTTACTACAGTATGCAAGCTATTTTCCTTTTTCACAACCAAGAATTCTCTCTATTTTTTGCCCTTTTTGGTATATATAACCAATACCAAAATTAAATACCTGTATTTTTAATGCATATGTATTTAAGTCTGGTATTTATCACTTTTATTTTCTCATTCACAAAGGCAAAAAGGACACAGATAGTGAGAGTGAAGAAGAAGCACCAAAGAAAAAGCATAAGAAATCAAGTAAAAAGAAGAAGAAGAAGCATAGATCAAAAAAGAGGTAACATTTATTTTAGTATCTTCATAAGACATGAAAGTGGAGATCGTTACTAATTGTGACTAAAACATGCCTTGATTAATCCTTAGTTCATTGTGAGTTCACCTTGGTGTGGCCTCATGTTTAGGGACTGGGCTTCCTGTGGATATGATGGGGCCACATTATATATCATGCATTACAGATGTTTTATTGATTATTTGCAGTAGGAAACACTCAAAAAAGAGAAAGAAGAGAAAGGAAAGTGAGAGTGAAAGCGAGGAAGAATCTTCAGGTAATATTGATGTTGATTGTTAATAAACATTAAATAATTCTTCATCATGACCATGATTATGACTATTGTGTTCATTGAAATTTAATTTTCCAGAGTAAACGGTTACCTAAAGGTGCAATTATTACACAAAGTAATTTTCTCTGCAACTTGTCTCACAACAGGGTTGTAACGAAAGTTGCAAGAGTTTCTACAGGGTGCGGAGACACAATCGTTGCCAAAAGTAGAAACAAATTCAACTTTTCATAGCGATTGCTGCAACTTGCCTTGTAACATTTTTCAAATTGTGCTGTAGGTCACTTCAGGCTGCAATGCTCTATGCAACTTGTGGTCACAACGCTGTTGTGAGACAAGTTACAGGGAAAATTGCTCCGTATAATTCAATGCTCCTTACAACTATTCTCTTTACAAACTAATTATTGTAGATGGATCAGAACTAGAATGGGAGGAGGCAAGTGTAGACAAAGTTACTGTAGAGAAAAAGCAAATAAAATGTAAGTATACTGTTTTTCAATAAGAAAGAATTTACTTGTGATTTTCATGTGGTGCCTATGGGTATGACTCCCAGGGTGAGTTCTACCAGGGGTGTTCCAACCTCTTCAATGAACACTATTCTTAACTCTCATAAGAAAAATCCTGTCATTCCGTTATTAGCTAAGAAAGATGACAAGGAAGAAGAAAGTGAAGTTGTAGGACCACTTCCCATAATGCAAGATGGCACTACACCAGAGCTACGAGAGTAAGTGAAATCTTGATTCTTCTTTTTCACATTAAGTCATTGCAGCCATTTGGGTGGATTTCTCATTAGCTAATGTTGTTCATACCACCAACATGGCTTCCATCTTTTTGGCATTTGAATCCTTTGGAAATACTTGCAAATGATGAGGCATAGCAGGAGTTGGTTAGTTCATGGTTCTTGGAGATACAGGTCCACAGTTTGATCATCAGGATCTCCATGTCTCTTAATCTGTCTAGCTTCTTCAGCTTAGAGTATTATTTATAAATAGAGCATTCCCTGATAAAACAGGGTGTAAAGCATGCATTGTCAATACCAGTCACTTTACTTTTTTTTACTTGATTAATAATTCTAAGTTTTTCCCTTACAATCACAAAATATCTTCAACTTTAAAAAGTTGGGTGCGTTATTAACTATGCATTTTCTTTAGCTTTGGAGGCGCACTGTTGCCTGGTGAAGGTGAAGCTATGGCAGAATATGTAAAGATGGGAAAACGTATTCCACGGCGTGGTGAAATTGGGTTGACATGTGATGAGATTGCATCTTTTGAATCTTCTGGATTTGTAATGAGTGGTAGCAGGTATGTAGCAGACTTCCCATGGACCTTAGTCATTTATGTTCTTTATTATTTACTTCACTTATATTAGAGGAGTTCTACAGACACCAATGTTGTTGGGCAGAAGCAATGCATCTACAGGAGTTTTCATTTTTCAATAAAAGTAAAAAATTCTTTTTACAATAACTTACAAATTTCTCACGCGCTGATTGGTTGTTTTTTATCATCAATTAGAGGTCAGACAGATAAAGCTGATGTCAAAGAGCGCGTGCTCTTTCCATTGGTTGTTTTGATCACTAAAAATGAGAAGTTTTTATCGTTTTTGTTATTGTAAAAAACGAATAGACATCAGTTTTTTTTATGTGTCTGTCCTCTTATTGACAATAAATTTCGTCATCACATTGTTAAAGCAGTATGCGGATGCACTCGGCTACACCTCATGGATCTACACTACTTTGACAATGTGATGACGCAATTTATTGTCAATAAGAGGACAGACACATAAAAAACTCATGTCTATTTGTTGAATTTCTTTCCCCAATGACATGACTGCTATGAAATCCCTCATTACATTATAAGTTCAAAATAGTTGCCTTCATGTTTAAAGTGGTGAATAATTGTTTTTTTAGACACCGTCGAATGGAGGCTGTACGTCTACGGAAGGAAAACCAGATTTACAGTGCAGATGAGAAGTATGTTACCTCTTTATAATTAATTTTTTGCCTTATTGATTTTTCAACTATTTCCATTATTTATTTTGTTTTATTTATTCAAAATTACTCTTTCTTTTAATCTACAGGCGTGCATTAGCAATGTTTAACTACGAAGAGCGATCCAAGAGAGAAAACAAAATTCTGTCAGATTTCAGGGAGCTTGTTCACCAGAAAACAAAGGGAAAGAAATAATACTGCCAATCTTTGGGTTTATGGTCATAAAATCTATAGAGAAAGACACTTAGTCACCCTAATACTCTTATCCTAGATTCATTTCTGTTTTTGATATTAATACTTTGAGAGGTACCAGAGATTAAAATGGCCAGCCATCAGATAATGTCCAGTCAGAATTGGAACTTGTTGGACCAGATTTTATCTTGCCAGCCATTTGTACCAATAAGGGTGAGCCAGGAACAAGCTATGACTGAGTTAAGACTACTTTGGTTATTACTATGACCAGTGACTGACTGGTGGTTATTTTCAGCCCTGGAGGCATCAAGGGTTTTGGATTCCACCTACATGTATAACAAATTACTAAATTCGGACAAAACATCAGATATCTTGAAGTTATTAAGATTGCAGGGACATGGAATTGACATGTTGGGCATTGGATCAACACGACAGAGTATCTAAATATGTGTCTGGTTGTGCAGTGGATGCAAAATACGAAAATTGCATGAAAACAAATAGCTCTTATTTAGTCCGAAACACAAACATAAAATCTATATCACATGCAAAGTATGGTATACATTTTTTTTATTGTATTAATCATTTTGTAAATATGTTATATACTGTAATTTTATTCCATTTACATGTAATAACAGAAACACAAGAAATGATAAAGAAAAATATTAGACACTTGTGATTACATTGTTTATCTACTTTTAATTTATCATAGTGAATATAATTGATACTCTCATTCTAATTTAATAATTCAGGTGCACAGAAATAAATGCTTGTCGTTTTTGGGGGATTAATTTCTTTTGTTATAATTGTGGAATTATTAATTTGCACTTTCAAAACTAAACAAACTGGATATATTACGCAAAACGTTTGAAAACTAAGAAAACTTATGTCTCACTATCACTCCCTTGGTCGGTATCAGAGGCAAGGACAAGCTGATTTTCTTTTTCTAGGCTTTCGTTCACAGATTTTATGTCATTCTTAGTAGGTACATCCTAGAAATCATGCTGAAAACTTGGTAATTCTGGGTCTTTTTGGATTTGTTTGCAAATCTGCCTTTGATTTTTTGTCCACTCTGTGTACCAAAAATATTCAGACTCTTGGGTGGGACTAGTCATGTAACTTTCTTCATTTTCAATGTCTTTCTGATACAGTTCTCTCAGATGCTTCCTTTCTGTCTTAGAACAGGCCCCATTGTCACACATCACTTCATTAGGAACATCTATTAATGCTTCTCTAGAGAAAGGATTCATATTACTGTTCTTTAGGTGATCTCTATTCCTTGCATTCTCTGATTTGTCTTCTTTGTAATCATTCTTTTCATACTCCCATCCACATTGGCTCCCTAATTCAACTCCCTCAAATACTTCTGACTCTGGAATACACACATCATTTTCATCCAAACTTTCATTTCTTATTCTATGGCAAGTTTGACGAAGTTCCTTTGATTCTGGTAATAAATTTTGAATTTCTTTGCTTTTTGTTCTTTGTTCTTTGACCCATTCTGTATATTGAAAGTTTGATTCAGTCCAATTCATGTCTGATTGAAGGTGATTTGAACTCTTACACTGTTTAAATTTCTTGCTCAAGCTTACTGTCCAATCTTTAGATCTTGGTTCAGATAACACTTCATCATGTGAATCATTCTGTAACTTTTTACACTTTGATTTTTGCTCTAAGGCCCACTGCGAAAAACGAAACTGAGACTCTGTGTCAGAATTGATCTCATCAAAAATATCTTGGTCATATTTTTTGTTCAAATTACTAGAACCTGATAATGAACTTCCACCAGAGTTTGCCCATAGCTCTGTTCCTTTTTCACTTATACCAGGACTATTATCTTGAAGCTCCTTGGATTTTCTTTTCTGTTCATCAACCCACTGCGTATAGTGGAAACTGTCAGAATCTTTTTCATCATCATTATTGAAACTACTAGGAAATAGACTCAAAGGACAAGTTGGAGATTCAGCTGTCATGGATTTCAATTTCTTTGAAACTGGACTTTTTATTACATCATCTTGACTTGAATTAATAAATGGTTCATATTGATTTGTTGTTGTGGTATTGAATTGATGTAAACCATGTAAATCATCATCAGCAGATGAGCAGGGCTTTGACACTTCAATTGGCAATACTCCACTTATATTAAGTTTGTCTGTCTCATTTTGAAGTCTTTCGCTTGAAGTTATGCCATCATCCCCCCACAGTTGCAACTCATCCTGGTCTGTGGGAATCAAATCGAATATCAACATAAATTCAAAGTCGTGTGGCATTAGCTATGGAATGGAGCCTACTACTTGAGGTGTGTGTGTGTCTTGTGTTATGGCTGTATGGCTGTATAATGCATGGGGAGGGGTGGAATGTAGGAGAGAGAGTGCTACAGATATCAATTAATGGTTTTAAATCATGCACTATCCAAATATCCTGTAACTTGATTGGTAGAAAATGAATATCCTCACAGGTATCTGGGTGTGGTGGGGTGCAGGTAAATAGCTCTAGGGTATGGAGGGAAAGGAGGGGGAGGGGGTGTTAATGCACGAGCAGAATTTAGAAATTACTCTTATTGGTTCCTACCAACCTGTAGTCATTTTGTGTCGTCGTTTTGAAATAGGAGTCGTGTAGCTTTGCAACACATCTTTTTTCCCAAGTCCATCATCGTTTCTCTCTTCACTTTCAGACTTCTTGTTTTCTTGGTCCTTTGAACCAGCAGGCTTAAAAAACCGCTCTACTTTAGCCTGTTTTACACGAGATAACATCTCTATAAGTCTAGGAGACATTGGTGTGCTAGAGATACTAGTAACCACTCCTGGTAGGTGGTCGGTTTTGATGACTGACTGCTTCTTTCTTCCTTTACGTGTTCCTCTTGCATTTTTCTGCTTTAGTGACTGAGCAATTCTTCTCGTATTCTTAGTTGTGAGCCACTTCCCACACCCTTGATCGCTTCCTTGATTGCCGAACATTTGTGCAAAGTTTGAAAGTTCTTTCAAGTCTTTTAGAGCAGGAAAGTCCAAGCAAAGAAAGCTACTAGTAACTTAGCTCGAAAACAATACTATTTTCTGTTACTAAAATTAAGCTTAAAGTATCACAACTGTCCATGAATTTTTGTTTCCATAAATGCTTATTAAGGAAATGTAATCAATAATCTAAATATATCAAATATTGATTTTTTATGTTTTGATTGAAAAGCCCGCCATCATATCTTTTGGGAATATTCAAAATGGCGCGCCAAATTGATACCAGTCTATCTCGGCTCCAGAATATAATAAACTAGGGAGGGGAGGGTTGTCAGATATTTTTAGCGAATCAATCCTTAAAAAGTCATTAATGCAAAATTGGATTGAATTATAGGTTAAGAAAGTAGATTTAAATACATATTTTTAAATTGTAAGTAGTTTTGAAAGAAAAGCTAATAAATTGTGCTTTTGATGTAGAACAAAGATATCCCCTCATACCACCCCCCTTGGCAGTCTTACGTGCTCGATCACTCGACTACACTAGCAAGCCATCAGTATGATATTGACCCCGAAATAAAAGGGTTGTTTGAAAAATGAATCTCAACAAAAGTACAAGTGAACACAAAGAAAAACCATGTAACATCATCGCCGTAGACGTAGGAACTACCCTTTTAACATGTCATCTGTTTGATAAATCCGGCATTTCTAAGTACAATACTACAAGAAAGGTAAAGTGTCGTTGTTATGTTGTCAAGTGGTTCTCGTAAACATTGCATTGGCGAACCGATTTTTACTCTGCCTTTAATATAAAGTTGATTGAAAAGAAAGCTATACGGTAACCAACTTATTCATTGTTCTGTCTTATTGAATATTAAGCTTATATAACTATAAGAACAGACGTAATCTATTTGATTATAAGTCTTGTTATCAAATGTACAGTTGAACAAAGTTCAAAGTACGTTGTGATTAACCTCTTTTATTCATTTTGTAACCGGCGGCAAGGCGCTCAGCTATGAATCAGATTGCAAGTGGTTTTGACAAAAGAATTTATTGAAAAATTCACACAACTTTACAATAC